GAGGATTTGAGGGATTACCTCCAGAGGAAGCGACAAGATGCCGAGGTAACCACTCCAGTCAAGCCGAGAAACGCCGTTTTCGATAGGATTGGACAAATTTGAGGCTCCGAAACAGTTCCACATGCCAAGATTCTAGATATACGATGGTAAGTCTAATCGTAACTTTCACATCAGCTTGTACCTGAACTCAATGGCACTGTACACCAGGAACGAGTCGTTGCTCTGCATGGTGTTCCCCTCATCCTTTGGGAAAATTGCATTAGACTAATTTCACAAGTTGCCGAAAGGAACCGTGAAAAGCTGGAAAGGCCTGGCCGAGATGTTCGTGGCCAGGTTTGTGACAAGCAAACTACAACCATTGAGGGTGGATTCCATGATGGCTCTAAGAATTGGCGAGGATAAAAACCTCAGGGCTTATGCCAAGAGGTAATATGAGGTGTTCAACCGAATACCAGGGTGCAACCAAGAGGTGGCGGTCGTGTCTTTTAACACTACTACAAAAATAGTTAAAGATCACACTTTGACAAAAAAAAAGATCTCACTTTTATTGGAAGTGTGATAAAAAAAAATTGGATTGATATTTTAATCACACTTAATTTGATTGAGTGTGATAATATTTATTTTTTATGTCACTTTTCAATTAAGTGTGATTATATATATATTCTTCTCTCTATCTCTCTCATATTTCTCTGTCTCTCTCGTTCATCTCTCTTCTCTCTATCTCTCTCATATTTCTCTGTCTCTCTCGTTCATCTCTCTTCTCTCTATCTCTCTCATATTTCTCTGTCTCTCTCGTTCATCTCTCTTCTCTCTATCTCTCTCATATTTCTCTGTCTCTCTCGTTCATCTCTCTTCTCTCTATCTCTCTCATATTTCTCTGTCTCTCTCGTTCATCTCTCTTCTCTCTATCTCTCTCATATTTCTCTGTCTCTCTCGTTCATCTCTCTTCTCTCTATCTCTCTCATATTTCTCTGTCTCTCTCGTTCATCTCTCTTCTCTCTATCTCTCTCATATTTCTCTGTCTCTCTCGTTCATCTCTCTTCTCTCTATCTCTCTCATATTTCTCTGTCTCTCTCGTTCATCTCTCTTCTCTCTATCTCTCTCATATTTCTCTGTCTCTCTCGTTCATCTCTCTTCTCTCTATCTCTCTCATATTTCTCTGTCTCTCTCGTTCATCTCTCTTCTCTCTATCTCTCTCATATTTCTCTGTCTCTCTCGTTCATCTCTCTTCTCTCTATCTCTCTCATATTTCTCTGTCTCTCTCGTTCATCTCTCTTCTCTCTATCTCTCTCATATTTCTCTGTCTCTCTCGTTCATCTCTCTTCTCTCTATCTCTCTCATATTTCTCTGTCTCTCTCGTTCATCTCTCTTCTCTCTATCTCTCTCATATTTCTCTGTCTCTCTCGTTCATCTCTCTTCTCTCTATCTCTCTCATATTTCTCTGTCTCTCTCGTTCATCTCTCTTCTCTCTATCTCTCTCATATTTCTCTGTCTCTCTCGTTCATCTCTCTTCTCTCTATCTCTCTCATATTTCTCTGTCTCTCTCGTTCATCTCTCTTCTCTCTATCTCTCTCATATTTCTCTGTCTCTCTCGTTCATCTCTCTTCTCTCTATCTCTCTCATATTTCTCTGTCTCTCTCGTTCATCTCTCTTCTCTCTATCTCTCTCATATTTCTCTGTCTCTCTCGTTCATCTCTCTTCTCTCTATCTCTCTCATATTTCTCTGTCTCTCTCGTTCATCTCTCTTCTCTCTATCTCTCTCATATTTCTCTGTCTCTCTCGTTCATCTCTCTTCTCTCTATCTCTCTCATATTTCTCTGTCTCTCTCGTTCATCTCTCTTCTCTCTATCTCTCTTTTCTCTCTCTGTCTCTTTCGTTCATCTCTCTTCTCTCTATCTCTCTCATATTTCTCTGTCTCTCTCACTCATCTCTCTTCTCTCTATCTCTCTCTCGTTCATCTCTCTTCTCTCTCTATCTTTTTTCTGTCTCTCACTCTCTATGTTTTTGTCCCTCTCTCTCTCTTCTCTTTCTCTCTCTCTTTCTCTCCCACTATGTTCGCGTTGCTCACTCTTTTCCTTCTGTCTTCTCTATTTACTGAGCTCCCTCTCGATTTATCTATCCACTACAAGAAAATGTACTTTTAGCGATCACTTTGTCTCTCTCTTGCTCATCACTCTGTCTTTGTCTCTCTCTCTCTCTCTCTTTCTCTCCTCTATCTGTCTCTCACTCATTTTTCTCTCTCTCACCACCCATCTCCTTTACCACTACTGCAAACGCCATTCCACTACCACTATTACTACCACTGTCGCCACTTCACCTCTACGACTACCATTGCTACTACCATTGCCACCACTACTACTACTGCCACTATTACTACCATTACCTCTCATTCACCCGTGCTACTTCATCTACTCTACCACTACCACAACTTCACCACTAATCTCCTTCGCCACCACCACCACCACCACTACCATCATCTCTTATCCACCACCTTCACCACTACTGCCACTACTACTACCATTACCTCTCATTCACCCTTGCCACTTCATCTACTCTACCACTTTTTTTTGACGACGATAACCCCCGTCGCCAAAAAAAAAAAAAAAAAAGTTAAACAACATTATTTTGTTATTTAAATTTTATTTCTGAAAAAAAAAATTATTTTCATTCCCGCCCCTTTTATTTTCCATTCCCGCTCCCTTCCCCACTTTTTTTTGACGACGATAACCCCCGTCGCCAAAAAAAAAAAAAAAAAAGTTAAACAACATTATTTTGTTATTTAAATTTTATTTCTGACAAAAAAAATATTTTTTATTACCGCCTGTTTTTGTTTTCCATTCCCCCTCTATTCTCTCTCTCTATCTCTTCTATCAGTCTCTCACTCATCTCTCTGTCTCTCACCACCCATCTCCTCTACCACCTTCACCACTGCTGCAAACGTCATTCCACAACCACCACTACTTCCACTGTCGCCACTTCACCTCTACGACTACCATTACTACTACCATCGCCACCACTCCACTACTGCCGCTACTACTACCACTCCTTCACCCCTTCCACTCCATCTACACTACCACTACCACAACTTCACCACTAATATTTTTCGCCATCACCACCACCACCACCATCATCTCTTATCCACCACCTCCACCACTAATGTCACTACCTTTCCTCTACCACAAAAAAATAGTTCTTGATTTTTACTAACAAAAAAAAAATAGGCCGTAGAAAAATATTTTTTATTGACCACAGAAAATAAACTTTTATTTTAGTGGAAAATATTTTTCATTAAAATATTACCCATACTTCTACCAAATAAAAAATAATAATAATATCTATATTTCTATCATTTGATTTTCATACATAGACTTTCTGATTGATTTGTAATCGATCTGTGCTTCTCTCTTATTTTACTTTTAGACCCTTGTGTTTGTATATTTGTTTTTGATGCAAGATTGTTTCTTCTTTTTTTTTTTGAAAATTTTCTCTTCTCTGTTTGTTTGCTGAGAAAACTAAGCATTAGAACCAAATATAATTAAAAAATAGCTTGATTAGTTGTTGATTTTTTAAATATTTTAAATATTTTTTCATTGATTAAAATATTAAAAAAATTCACTAAAAATAAAAAAATACGAATTAAAAACTCAAAAAAAAAAATTCAAAAATTGAAACAAATTTTTAATACAAAATCTATTTTGACTCGTTCAGACCCGCCCATTTGCCACGTTTGAAAAAAAAAAAAAAACTAACAAATTATTCCAAAATTCCCCCCAAAATTTCCCTCATTTTTCTTCTTCTCAGTCGCGCTCATCTCTCTCTGTCTCTCTCTCAATCGTTTTGTATTTTTTTTCCCTTTGAATTTCAGCCTCTTTTTCTCTCTCTCATTTGTTGCATAACCCTAACCTAACCCGTCTTTGAGAGAGATGCAGAGACGAAACGACATGGAGATGAAGGCGATGTGACTCCGGTAGATGACTCCAGCAGACGACTCCGGCAGCTAGGCGAGGGGAGGCGACATCGAGGCAAGGGAAGGCGGCGACCGACGAGGTCCCTTTCGTCTTCAGTTTACATAACTTCTCATGACCTTATGTCAACTCCATTGAGAAGCATGAAGCAAAAAAACTATGATTAAAATTCCCACAAGCATCAATAGGCTTCGATTTTTAGATGCTCAAATCAACACTTCCATTACTCCTAAAATTATGTTGTGTTGCTACTTGTTAGTGAATGCATTCTAATATGATCTACATAATAAAATACCTTTCAAAACATAACAGTAGAGTGTTTATTGTACCAAAATTATATATTTTTGATAGGCATGAAAATAATGAGTTAGGGCAAAACATAAATGTAATTTTTTTTATTATTTTTTGATCAACAACGTAAATGGAAAAACTTAATGCCCAGCAGGACCACAAGCTCATGTTCGGTCTACTTTTTTCCCTTAAATCCTTGATTGCAAAAATGGATCCAACAAGGTTTGTTTTGCTTCTTCAAGTTTTGAATTTCAAACATAATATGTTTGCGTGAGTATTTTGATTTCCCATAGAAATTAAAAAAATTTATTTGATTATATAAAACAGAAAATGTTTCGGTTGTGCAAAGAAAACTAAGAATTTGACATGCATATACTGTTTGTTTTGGGATCCATAAGATGGTATTAGAAACACTATAACTGGTTCTGATGCCATATGTGATATGTTGATTCCTGTAACAGAAAACTCTTCCTGTATCATCTATTGGCCTTATTAACTCCATATTTATTCTTAGCTTGGAGATTGATTAAATTTTTGTTGAAATTGGCATATGTTTGTTAGACATATTTTGTTTGGCATTGGAGTCTCACACTGTAATAGATTCATGATTCATCACTTGTTTGGATTTGGAGCTAATTTTTTCATTGAGGTCCAAATGTTGTGCCAGACATTGTTTTTAATTATTTTGGTTGTGGTTGGTGTTCAATGATTGTATGATTTACATGGGACTCTTTTGGACAGTGCGGAGAAGGGAAATCTTGGGGTGCCTCAGTTACCAGGACAAGGATGTTCATTTCACAGCTTTCGTACCAATACGTACAAACTCAGTTTTATGGAGAGTCCATCTGGTATGTTGAGCTCCCAAATATAGATGTGACTATCACATGATGAGGTCATATGAAAGTCTTTGATAAGAAAACTTGTGTTCCCAGCGACATTAATTGATGTTTTCAATGTAATGGCAACGTGATGCTGTGCATACTTTAGACTGGAATGATAGGATTAAGGTCATTAAGATGTCTTGTTTGACGTGACAAGTTAGTCCCTTTTGCGAGAAAGGTTTTGTTTTGAATTTTTACACTTCATTATACTTAAAATTGAGAAGTTTTTGATTTACATGAGACTACCTATAAGAGCACTACTCTGAAAGAAAGAATTCACTTCACTTCAGGCTCTCATTACTAATTTTTGGTATCTGTGTAACCACACAGTTCTCATTGTATAACTACATATAAATTTGTTTGCAGATCATTCTCGTCACTCATCCCAGGACTGGTGATCTAAGGGATTCCCTGAAGTATATTTACAATTTGTAAGTTGAATAGGTTGTCAAGAATCCACTCTATAGTCCAGGAACTCCAATCAGGTGAGTGATATATATTTTCTATCTTATTTTTATCATTGTGAAACACTTATATGATGACCTATTAGCTAAGGGTTTTAAATGCTGCATGACACCTCGGAGATTTTCTATGTAGAAGTTAATTTGACTGGGCTGTTGTCCCTGACGGGTGCCTTCTACCATTTTGGAGAATAGTTTTTGAGCAAAATATAACCAAATAGAGAAAATATTGCAAGGATTAATTTATTCAATCTAAAACAAGTTTCATTACTGACTAGATTTAACCTGCTCACATTTTTTACCATGCATTCATTGGTCTTTTCTAGCTTGACACACATAAATAACACTCCTTTGTAAATGAAAACTATGATTATAGTAGATAAACAAAAATGTTGACAAAAATTTTCAATAGATAGAAAAAAATTGAACCGATAGATAGAATTTAGGGGAAATAATTGAACAGATAGATATAAAATTGAACAGATAAATAGAATTTAGGGAAAAATTGAACAGATAGATAGAAGTTAGGAGAAAAGTTGAACAGATAGGGGAAAAAATTGAACAGATAGACAAAAAATTTGAACAGATAGTCAAGTCAAACAGACTGAAACAAAGTTTAGGGGTAAAATTAGAAAAAAAACGTCTTCTAGGACTTCTTATCAAACTATTTCACAAATTGTAAATTTTTTATCAATAAAAAATATTTACTGAACTTAATGTCTTACCCTCTAAATATACATTGAACCAAAAGAGAGAATTTTTTTTAGTTTCTTTCACTTTGGTTATTTTATTTATTTATTTTCACCTCACAAGTCCGAGATGAAACATAACAGTAGAGTGTTTATTGTACCAAAATTATATATTTTTGATAGGCATGAAAATAATGAGTTAGGGCAAAACATAAATGTAATTTTTTTTATTATTTTTTGATCAACAACGTAAATGGAAAAACTTAATGCCCAGCAGGACCACAAGCTCATGTTCGGTCTACTTTTTTCCCTTAAATCCTTGACTGCAAAAATGGATCCAACAAGGTTTGTTTTGCTTCTTCAAGTTTTGAATTTCAAACATAATATGTTTGCGTGAGTATTTTGATTTCCCATAGAAATTAAAAAAATTTATTTGATTATATAAAACAGAAAATGTTTCGGTTGTGCAAAGAAAACTAATAATTTGACATGCATATACTGTTTGTTTTGGGATCCATAAGATGGTATTAGAAACACTATAACTGGTTCTAATGCCATATGTGATATGTTGATTCCTGTAACAGAAAACTCTTCCTGTATCATCTATTGGCCTTATTAACTCCATATTTATTCTTAGCTTGGAGATTGATTAAATTTTTGTTGAAATTTGCATATGTTTGTTAGACATATTTTGTTTGGTATTGGAGTCTCACACTGTAATAGATTCATGATTCATCACTTGTTTGGATTTGGAGCTAATTTTTTCATTGAGGTCCAAATGTTGTGCCAGACATTGTTTTTAATTATTTTGGTTGTGGTTGGTGTTCAATGATTGTATGATTTACATGGGACTCTTTTGGACAGTGCGGAGAAGGGAAATCTTGGGGTGCCTCAGTTACCAGGACAAGGGTGTTCATTTCACAGCTTTCGTACCAATACGTACAAACTCAGTTTTATGGAGAGTCCATCTGGTATGTTGAGCTCCCAAATATGGATGTGACTATCACGTGATGAGGTCATATGAAAGTCTTTGATAAGAAAACTTGTGTTCCCAGTGACATTAATTGATGTATTCAATGTAATGGCAATGTGATGTTGTGCATACTTTAGACTGGAATGATAGGATTAAGGTCATTAAGATGTCTTGTTTGACGTGACAAGTTAGTCCCTTTTGCGAGAAAGGTTTTGTTTTGAATTTTTACACTGCATTATACTTAAAATTGAGAAGTTTTTGATTTACATGAGACTACCTGTAAGAGCACTACTCTGAAAGAAAGAATTCACTTCACTTCAGGCTCTCATTACTAATTTTTGGTATCTGTGTAACCACACAGTTCTCATTGTACAACTACATATAAATTTGTTTGCAGATCATTCTCGTCACTCATCCCAGGACTGGTGATCTAAGGGATTCCCTGAAGTATATTTACAATTTGTAAGTTGAATAGGTTGTCAAGAATCCACTCTATAGTCCAGGAACTCCAATCAGGTGAGTGATATATATTTTCTATCTTATTTGTATCATTGTGAAACACTTATATGATGACCTATTAGCTAAGGGTTTTAAATGCTGCATGACACCTCGGAGATTTTCTATGTAGAAGTTAATTTGATTGGGCTGTTGTCCTTGACGGGTGCCTTCTACCATTTTGGAGAATAGTTTTTGAGCAAAATATAACCAAATAGAGAAAATATTGGAAGGATTAATTTATTCAATCTAAAACAAGTTTCATTACTGACTAGATTTAACCTGCTCACATTTTTTACCATGCATTCATTGGTCTTTTCTAGCTTGACACACATAAATAACACTCCTTTGTAAATGAGAACTGTTCATCGGTTTGGGACTTTTTTTTTTTTTTTTAATCAGCAAAAAAAGAAGTTATATTGATGAAGAAAAGCAATAACCATGCCAAACTAATAACAATAAAGCAAGGCGCCCAAGATTGGTAAGAAACCAACCAAAGCAACGAAAAGAAGATTAAAGGTGTGATCTAAATGTTTTTAATCACACTTAAAATGTGTGATCTAAATATTATTAATCACACTTAAAAAGTGTGATGAAAGCATTTTTTAATGACACTTAAAAAGTGTGATTAAAAATGACCATTTTTAATCACACTCCTAAAGACCACACTTTAATAAAACTTAAAAGGTGTGATTAAAAAACATACATCACACCAAAAAAGTGTGATCTTTATCTATATTTGTAGTAGTGAGAACGGCCTGAACGATGACTGTTTGCTTTGAAAATCACTGGCAAAGACACTGCCAAAAAGTATGGAGGAACTCATGGCCAGGATTGAGAAGTATGCGAGAGTCGAGGAAGACACGCCAGGGACAAAGGCGTCAAAACAAGAGAAGAGAAACGGCTCGCCGAAGCGAGGCCGAGGTAATACTGGATACAACAAGCAAGAGACAAGACTGAAGGTTGCACAGGCAGTCACTACTGTATTCCGAATTCCGATTTACAAAGTCCTAGAAAGAATCCGAAATAAGCCCTATTATAGAGCACCGAAGAAGATTCCTGGCGAATTTATGGGAAGAAGTCTGGGGAAGCGCTGTGCCTACCATAATGAGGATGGGCATCTGACTCAAGGGTGCAGAGCCCTAAAGGCACATCTAGAAGATCTGGAAAGACATGGTCACTTAAAGGACCTAGTAGATGAGGCCATAATAAGGGAAGAACAAGCGAGGCTGCCTCAAGCACCAATAGCACCACCTCCACCAGCACCACAACCGCAAGTAGGCAGACCTTGAGAGATCAATGTGATTCACTCGAAGGTTAATGAGAATGAGATACGTGGGGAAACTCAAAAGGTAAAACACTTACAAGATGTGTATCAGGTTTGGCAGAAAAGACCTAGGGCAGATGAGTACTAGGGACCAATGGTATCCTTTACTGAAGACGACGTAGACATGGTGCGGAATCCACACAACGATGCCCTAGTAATATCCCTCAAGGTTGGAGAGTGCCAGGTAAAGCGCATTCTAATTGATCAGGGCAGCTCTTCTGACATCATGTATGTCAGATGTTACAAGGAGCTTGGCCTTCACCAAGATGATCTGGAGCAGTCCAATGGTCCAATGGTTAGGTTCAACGGAATGTCGACGTGGCCCCTAGGAGCACTAAGTTTGGAGGTGGAGGCTGGCACCAAGAAGGTAAACACAGAGTTCACAACAATTGACACCTCTCCCCTTACAATGTTATACTGGGAAGGCCATGGCTACATTCAATGGGGGTTGTTCCCTCAACACTGCACCTGCTGTTATAGTTCCCAACAGAGCATGGAAATGAGGAGGTCAAAGGGGATCAGGTGCAGACAAAGAATTGCTTTATGGTAGTAATGAAATCCACCTGCAACATATGAGAAGTGGAGGCAGTAGAGATTGAGGACGAGGACATGGAGGTCCTGGAGGACGTTAGCAAAGAACCACCTGAGAAGAGTGAGGAAACCTTGAAGAAGATCACAGTCAAGCAAGGAGATAAAGAGCGCTTCTTCCTTCTCAGCTCAAGCTTGACCAAGGAAGAGAAAAAGGAGTTAGAGGCATTTTTACTAGCAAACATCGAGGTGTTTTCTTGGACGCCATACGAGATGCCTGGCATTGACCCCGAGGTCACTTGTCATAGATTGAATGTAGACAGGTCGGCTAAACCTGTCATTCAACGGGCTAGAAGGCCGACCTTAATGCATGCCGAGGTAGTAGAAGAGGAGGTGGACAAACTATTGGAGGCCAGAGCCATTCGAGAGGTAAACTACCCAACTTGGCTATCCAACACTGTGGTGGTGAAGAAGAAGAATGGGTGGAGGGTCTGTGTGGACTTCACTAGCCTAAATAAGGCTTGTCCCAAAGACAATTTCCCACTTCCCAAGATTGATCAATTGGTGGATTCCATTTCAGGGCATGGAAGAATGAGCTTTCTGGATGCATACATGGAATACCATCAGATAGCGATGTACCCTCCTGATAAGGAGAAGACTGCATTTATCACCCTAAAAGGGTTGTATTGCTATAGAGTGATGCCTTTCGGGTTAAAAAATCCAGGAGCAACCTACCAGAGGCTGGTAACCAAGATGTTCAGATATCTAATTGGAAAAACTGTGGAGGTATACATTGATGACGTGGTCGTGAAGACCAAAGAGCCTAAGGATCGTTTGGCCGACCTGCGAGCAGTTTTTGATATCCTGAGGACATTTCGGCTCTGACTCAATGTGTCAAAGTGCGCATTTGGAGTTGGGTCTGGAAAGTTCCTGGGATACTTGATTACCAGAAGGGGCACTGAGGCAAGCCCAGATCAGATTAAGGCCATCATGGACTTGAAGAGCCCAACATCAGCAAAACAAGTGCAGATGTTAACTGGAAGGGCCATAACCCTGAATAGGTTCATAAGCAGAAGTTCTAACAAATGCAAACCTTTTTTTAGTTTAGTGAAGAAGGCCA